GGGCGGCGACTTGGCCCTGCAGGGCCGCGACGGCGGGGGCGTTGGTGCCGATGTCCGCGGTGTGCTGAGTGGCTGTTTGGAGGGGCGTATACTGAGTCAGGACGAGGGAGAGCTGCCTGGCGGAGATGCCTTGCAGTTCGGCTCTGTCTCTCCTCAAGGGAGCCTTGCATGATGATGCAGACGACTTGAACAGAGGTCAGGCTGCGATGGCGCTGGGCAACCTGGGAAAAACAGCAGCACCGTCGGCATCGTGCTGCCGCTTCTTGAACAAGCCCTAAACATCACGGGCAAAGATGAGCCGGATGATCGCTGGATGAGCAGCACTCGAGCTGCGGCGCTGTGGGGCTGGGCTCTCTGGGTAATCCTATCCGAATCTCGTTGGGGAGAGCGCAGTTGTGCTGCCGACGCCCTGGGTTGGCTGGACTCTGCAGACTCGCACATCGCAGTCCGCATCGTCGGCATGTTGCAAGAGACCCTGAGAGCACATTAAGCCAAAATGGAGCGATGATTGGACACGATCCATTCTTCGTGCGCTGGAGAAGCTGGGCTCCAAGCATTTCGATGTTGTGATGCCATCTTCAAGCAGGTGTTGAGTGACGACGATGGCTTCCGTTACGACTGGTTCTTGAAACAGGAGGCCGTATGCAGGCTACCCTTCAGTGAGAATGCAGATCCGGATGCCATGAATGCGGTGCTGCCAATCCTGAATCGTTCTCTAAGTACGGATCGGGGCGGCCTGAAAGAGAGGTGCGCTGCCGATTATTTGGGCAGGCTGGCATCCGTAAACCCTGAGCCCTTCTTGCCCATGATTCACCGGATGCTGCATTTTTGGGGTCCGCGCCGGGCTGATGAGCTGACCGCCGGTCTGCGTCCTAATCCGAATCACCTCGATGCTGTTCTCAAGCTCATCGGAGACTCTGCAGAAGAGGTGCGCAGCAAAACTCTGCAGAGACTTTGTTATGATGGCGCCAAACACCCGGGTGCTGTATTGCCCATCCTCCACAGGGCGCTGGGCGAGAATGGGACTGCGCGCCGAAGTGCGCTGGAACTTCTTGGCAATTCGCTTCTAGGCTCTGGATTTGCGTTTGCTCTGGGTCGGCTGCACTTCGCAGAGCCCGATGCGTTGTTGTCCATCCTGAAGGTGCTTCTAAGCGAAGAGATGCACGACGAGGATTACTATGGCAACATTTTGGGCAAAAGTGCTGCGCACGCTCTGGGTCGACTGGGCGCTTCCATCCTCAACACTGGACAGCTTGCGGTCTCAGCTGGAGATGAGCACTGATCCCACCGCTGTGCTCACACTCCTGAGAGACCCTGAAGCTGAAGTGCGAAAGAGAGCGGCGGATGCACTTTGCAAGCTGGGATCAATAGATCGTGAACTTAATTATACTGGCTGTTGTGCAAAAGGCAGGAAGCCTTGATGACGCGGCGCCCGAAAGTGGTATGGACGTCCTGGACCAGCTCGCATCTGCATTTGCATGTGCTCTGGGTGGGCGCTCGGGAGATTCCGCTCTGGATGTCTTCTACCAGAACTTGAGGCATGGGGACAAGCAAGTGCGTTTGGACACCGTGAAGCTCTTGGGCTATTGGGTTCACAGGGACCCCGAGGCTGTGGGGCCCCTCCTCCATTGGGTTATGCACGGCAAAGACTGGAGATTTCAGTGGCTAACAGACACCGAATACCAGATGCGGGTGAAAGCTGTGAAGATGCTGGGTGACATGGGCATCAACTACAACGTTGACGCCGTGCTGCCTCACATCAAGAGGCCTTGAGTGATGAGAACTCGGAGGTGCGCCGAAGTGCAGTGGATGCTCTGGGAAAACTGAGCTCCACAAGTCCCCTTGCCGTGCAGCTCCTCGAAGAGGCGGCGCAAAGTGAAGATGAGCAGGTGCGAAGCAAGGCTCGGACTTACACGGAGGGCCTCGGGCAAAGCCGAGAGTAGCCGACTCGATGCGAGGCATGTGGCACCAATCCTTGCCGTTCAAGAGCAGGCTCTGCCAAAGCATGCCAAAGCTACTTTTCGACTAGCCAGCGCGGCTGAGCATGAGCGCGGAAAACCTTCGACCTTCCCCGTGGCTTCCATGATGCCGCTTGCACCCGCATGGCACGTGAGGGTCAGCTAAATGCTAATGCTGCCAGAGTTGAGGAGCATGAGCCATCTGTTTGTCCAGGGACGTGGCCTCCACGGGGTCAAGCCGGACACTGGCGTCCAGCTCTACCTTGGAGGCACCAGCCTCAGCCCCAAACCATCCGAAACCCCAAGGCAGAAGTGACCCAGAGCTGCATAGCCGGGTATCCCCTTCGGCTTAGGTGCCCATGAGGGGCAGAGCCCCACATCCCGCTCAGGTCGACTCCAGAGAACACAAAAGAGGGCGAGGCCTCCCCTGCTTCGTGAGTCAGGTGTTTTTTGGGAGAGATGTGGGTCATCCAGAAGCTCGCTGGGTGAAGTCAGTGTGTTGTGGGGCAATGCTGTCTGAATGCTTGCACATGCTCAAGAGGCTTCCGGCTTGGTTTCCGGAAGGTGTCTTGTTTTCGCTTCCCAGACTCCGCCATAGCCCTGGCTCCCAGCCAGCGATGACCTCAGAGGCTCTCCGGCTTTCAAAGCCGAAAAGCATTCCGTGTGCGGATGGCCCCAAACACCTTCACCGCGGCCCTTCCGCGAACCTCGGGCTCGTCTGAATTTCCACAAAGAAGGCATCCGAAAGCTGAACCCGAAGACTCCGATGCACCCAGAGCCTCAAGGCATCAAGCAGTAGCATGCAGCTTCTCCGCTTTAGCCCTTAGCCCACAGCCAGCCCAAGGGCTCTGGATCGCCGTAGCGTTGGGGTGTCCGTCGTCTTCGAGGATCACGGGCCCCAAACCCATCAGCTCTCTCGAGAGCATATGTGTCTCGAGCCTCTGAACAAAATCCTGAACCTGAAAAGTTCAATGCAGCTCCGCAGGTGGCGCCGATGTCCTCTCGACGGGAAAGGCCTCTTTGGCATCTTAGGTGCACGATTGGAAGCTTCCACCATGATCTGCAGCTCCTCCTGGGAGACAGCCGATCGGGCCCTGAAGGGTGCTGCGGATGGTTTTCCGATGCTCTCGGCCCTCCTGCACGAAGGACCACCAGAGTCAGGACCCCTGCGAGAGAATCTGCAAAAGGACTCAAGCTTTAGGGCCACTTACTAAACCTTAAGCCCTAAACCCTAAACCCTAAACCTTAAGCCCTAAACTGGCCCTAAACCCTATAAACCCCATACCTACTAGACCGAGAGACTGGCTGTCCCAAGTTGTCCCAAACCTTGCCTTATTAGGTCCTTTCGCTGGCGGAGATGCAGTGCAGCAGCGCAGGGTGTCTACCCATAGGCCCCTAAGTAGTTCCTTTTTGTGGATTATATTTAGAATCCTATAAGGTAATCCCAAAAAGGAACTACTTAGGGGCCTATGGGTAGTTTCTGATGTGGTAACTGTACGGCATCCTGTGCTTTGAGATCCCAACCGTCACAAGTGCTCGGAACTATGTGCAGTTGCTGCTGTTTTTGTGCCCAAGTTTACGTGAACTTAGCCAGTCGCCCTGACGATGATCTCGGTTCTCGGTATCTCTCCGACTGCATCTGCGACGCGAGGATCGGCGAGCCCAGGATGTGAAGTTGCTTCGTGTCTTCCACATGAAAACTCTCAGAAAGCTCCGCATTCACTGACTCGCGGTGTGTGGGCAGTCGGGAGTCTCTTTGCTGTGTCACTCTGCCGTCGAGATAGGGCTGCAATAGCCGAAGGCCGGTGCGAGCGCAAAAGCCGCCGCCAGGGTGCTTCAGCTTGCCGGGCCTTGCCAGACCAAGTGCCACCTGCGGCTGCCAGCAGAGTCGTGATCAAGCCTGACGCTGAGGCGGTGGCCTTTGAGCTTTGTGCGGAGGTCGCCCGGGCTGCTAAGGAGGCCGTGGCAGCACGAGGCGCCTTTGCGCTTGCCATTCCAGGAGGCTCCATCTTGAAGATGCTGGTGACGGGGTCTTCGCAGTTAAAAGGTGTTGAGTGGGACAAAGGCGTCTTAGCCTACGTGAACCACAAGTGCGTCCCAAATGACGATGCTGCCGCTACACACCAAAAGGCCACCGAGCTCTTTCTCAGTGGCTGGCCTGGCATGCGCGTCATTACAATGGGTGGCTCTGGAAAGCCCAAACCCAACTAAACGGACCTACTGCCCCAAATCCCCTAAATCTCTAAACCCCTAAGCCCCCAAACCCCTAAACTCTAAACGGCCCTAAACCCCCAAAGCCACCCCAAAACCCCTGAACCCAAAAGGCGGCTCGGCAGAGGGCGAGGCGGAAGCAGCGCACTACGAAGCTGAGCTCCGGGCTTTGCCGGAGTCGACGTTGCCGCGAAGTGCCTCTGGGATCTGGAGGTCACTTCAGGCTTCTGTAAGAGGTTTTTAGTGTAGCGAACACGGAACATTCCTCAATGACCGCTGGTTTTGGAGGCTCCGGACTACCCGTCTTCGACCTTTGCCTTATTGGCGTGGGAGATGATGGCCACTTTGAGTCGCTCTACCCGGACCGGGAGGACCCGAAATCCGAAACGGAAAAACAACAACCTTAAAACCCTAAGGCCCCTAAGCCCTAAACCCTAAACCCTAAATCCCTAAACCCTAAACTCTAAACCCCTAAATCCCTAAACCCTAAACCCTGAGCCTCGAAATCTTTAAACCTCAATGCAAAAAGGCCGCACGCCTTGAGGAGATTGCGGATGCTTCGGGCCGATGGGTCTTGGCTGTGGACATGAAGTCGCCTCCCACCATCACGCTCTCGCCGGCAGCGATGATGTCTTCCAAGAAGGCCTAAACCCTAAATCCGACACCCTAAACCCTAAACCGTGCCAAGGAACTTTATAGTACCCTTTTAGAGCCCTAAACCCTAAGTCCTAAACCCTAAACCCTCAATAAGGAACCTTACAGCAGTACCCTTACAGAGCCCTAAACGCTAAGTCCTCAACCCTAAACCCTAATAAGGAACCTTATAGTACACTTATAACTTGAAGCCCTAAGTCCAAGAAGGTCCTTGTGGCCTCCGCTGGAGTTTCGGAGACTTCGCAAGCAGACGGCGTGTTTTTTGATATCTTAAAACCAGCTCAATCAATGAACCTCCAAATCCAGAATACCCTAAATACATCCTTAAGCTTAAAAAAATGCTTAAGGAAATCCAGGTTTAGGGGGGTTGGGGGTTTAGGCGTGTAGGGTCTCGGGTCGAGGAAGGTTAGGGTCTTGGGTTTTTGTTCGGGAGGGTTTAGGGTTTAGGGGCTGAGGCTTTAGGGGTGTAGGGTCTAGGGGTCTAGGGAGGGTTTAGGGGTCTGGGGTTGAGGTTTAGGGAGGGTTTAGGGTTGGGGTTCAGGGTTTAGGGGGTTTGAGGGTTGAAGGGTAGAGGATCTAGGGGTCTAGGGAGGGTTAAGGGTATAGGGTCTTAGGGGTCCACAGAGGGTTTAGGGGTCTAGGGTTGAGGGTTTAGGGAGGGTTTAGTGTTTTGGGGTTCAGGGTTCAGGGGGTTTGAGGGTTGAAGAGTGCAGGGTCTAGGGTCCACGGAGGGTTGAGAGGTCAAGGGTTTAGGATTTAGGAGGGTTTAGAGTTTGGGGTTGAGGGTTTAGTGGGTTTAGGGTTTAAAGGGCATGAGGCTTTGGGGGTTTTAGGGTTTAGGGTGTAGGGTCTGGGGTTTAGGGTTTCCGTGTCTTGGGCTTGGGGGTTTTGGGGGTTTAGGCTGTAGGGAGGGTTTAGGGTTCAGGGTTCAGGGTTTAGGGGTGTAGGGTCTAGACTCTCAGGAGGGTTCAGGTGTCTAGGGTTTTGGGTTTAGGGAGGCTTTAGGGAGGGTTTTGGGTTTTGGGGTTCAGGGTTTAGGGATCTAGGGTTAAGGGTTCGGGTTAGCCTTCTAGAACCCTAAGCACCCAACCGGAATCCTGATAAAACCCGTAGAACCCTGAATCCTGAGCCCGGAATCTCCCAGCCCTGAAATTTAAGATCTATGTACAAGCAAAGAACAGAGCCAATACACCCAAACCCGAGTACACTTAAAACGAAGTTTACTGCCTCAAACCCCAGGAGAAGTACCCCATGGGCAAATCGGAAGCCATGAAGAAGGCTATCGAAGGCATGGAAGGCCCTCGTGCCTTCCCTGCAAGCCCTCAGATCTACGGCATGCTACTCCGTCCCCCAGTGGTACCCTCTTGCCTTTTTTAACTTTGGGATCCCCTAAACCCTAAACCCTAAAACCCTAAAATCCGAAAGCCCTAAACCCAAAACCCTAAAGCCCTAAACCCTAAAACCCTAAGGCCCTATACCCTAAACCCTAAACCCGATTTTTTGGGGGGCCCTGGGGACCCGAGGCTACCTTCTCGACGAGGCGGCCGCCTCCTCCCTGAGCGAAGGTTACCTGAGCTGAGCGCGGAGGCAATGAGAAGATGAGCCGGAAGGGGGTTTTAGGGTTTAGGGTTCCAGGATTTAGGGCTTCGGGGGGTTCTGTTTGGGTATGAGTCTTCTGTGACATTCTGTGTCGGGCCCCACGATCCAGAAGTCCTTCAAGGCTTCATCAAACTACATTGGGATCGTTACTATGGTTTAAGGTATGTTCTTTAATGAAGGAATAGCGGAGTCTCTGGGAACCTAATGACCTAATGCTGCAAAGACACTGTGTCTTACCTAACCCCCCAAAGTAGGTGAAATACCGGCCCAGCATCTCCAACAAAACGGCTACTGTTTTACGTGCTGTTGGGGTCTAGGTATGCGACAACAACGTGCTGCATACCAGCATCTTCTCGAGAACCCTGACCCCACCAGTAGCGAGGCTTGTGCCCCCCTTGTCCCAGCACTTCAAAGCCATGGTCCGCTGTGGCGCCAGAAGAGCCTTCGATTGTGTAGTTTCAGGGCGACAGCGTGAACACAGTGCAGGCGAGCAGTGGTTAAAATGGTTAAAAGGCTTCTCTTTCTCAGAGGTTTTCCGATTTTCTCATGGGGTGACCAGGCCCCAGTGCAACTGGTGAACAGGGTGTGTAAGCGAGGAAGAAAAAGTCAGAGTTGCCAGACGTGGAGGTTGTGTAGTGAGTTATGTTAGAAAACTCCGAAACGCAAGAGGTGCAAAACGGTTTGAGAGAACTAGAAAGCTTTTGAGGAAGGACAGGCCTTTGACAACTGTTCGTGTACACTGCATTCACGCTGTCGTCTCAAGACTTCTCAATCCCGCTTTCGTCTCTCTTGCGAAACAAGATGAAACAAATTCATAAGGCTCATCCAATCAGATGTCTCCAGAAATGAATGGAGTCGTGTTTGCAGAGAGTCGAAACTACATATGTGCGAGCTTATCCACAAATATTTCTTGTTGATGCACAGACTAGCCTCAACTGGAGCAGTGAGGTAAAGGTGTGATGCGTGCCGCAGCCACAGCAGAGCTCATGGCTCCGTTGTTTGACTTCATAAGCTCTCCGGCTTGAAGCCGGCGTGCGCCTTCCATGTCTCGTGGCTCATGGCCCGCGCCGTGACCTTCATCACGGTCCTTCTGGGAGCCTTGGCTTGATCCGAGTTTCCAAGCGGATGTCGCACCCAAGCCACCCGCTAGCCTTCAAAAGCTGCCCAAGGGCTGTGGATCACCGGCTGCGGCGTCCGCCCCTCCCGAGAAGAGGTGCGGCAGCTCCTGGAAACAGAGGCCGACGGCGTCCCAAGTCCATCTCTGAGCCCATCAGCTCTCTTCGGGTCAACCTTGTTTTACCTTTTAGCGCATCCGGTTTTCGGCTGTGTCTGGTCACTTACATAGAGGATTCTCAGCCCTGATCCGCCCCTTGCTCACAATGACCTCGAACCTCCGAATAATCCTAAAGCCCTATGGCTGGAAAGCTATTCTCTGCTGCGCAGGTAACGCCTCGAGATGCCCGCCCAATTGCAGAGGCCTCTTGTGTCGTAGATTGCCGGGGTCGCAGGATTTGCAGCTGTAGGATAAGCGTACCGATCTGTGGCGGCAGGGTTTGTTCTCCCCATTAGATTGAAAACTCCAGGGTAGAGGATTCCATGGATAAGAGGTCTGGGTTTGGGAATGTGTCCGACTACCAGATGCAAATTTTTTTTGCAAGTCTTACTGGCTGCCAACATGTTGCAGCCTGAATGCACTCCTAACTCAGATTTCAAGTTCCTTCCGCTGCCTTTCACTCGGGTATTCGGACGCTTGCAGAACAGAGGCCCTAAAAAGCCCCAAAGCTCGGCCCTAGAGGCCTTCGAAGCCCTGAAGCCCTGGAACCTCCAAGCTGCGGCCGGACCAAGGCTTCGGTGTCCCGAAACCTCGAGCCTGCGCTGCGTGAGGCAGCTCCTGTGGAGGTCGCCGTTTCGGCTCTCTTCCCGAAGCTGTTGTTCTGGGGTCTTTTGAGGTGCATTCCGGGATTTAGGGTTTAGGGCTTGTAAAACTCTAAACCCTAAACCCTAAACTAGGGCTTTGGGGGTTCTGGATCCGTGGGTTCGAGGTAGGAATTTACAAAAGCCCCGACATGCATTGTATAGTTCTCCTTCAACGGCCCAGAAGCCTGAAAGACAGCGAAA